TATATATATATATATATATATATATATATATATATATATATATATAATCTGTCATAGGCTTAATTTAAGGCAGGGCTAGGTACACAGTCAGAACTTAGGGAAGGCGGGTGGTTAGCTTATTATATGAATGAGCAAATGAAAATTTATCCTTGACCTTGGTGACTTTATAATCTGGAGCAAAAAGAAGGAACTTGAAGAGAAGAAAAAAGAAATCAAAGTCTACTCACATCAGCACAGTTATAACTAGAAGTAGCAGATGGCACCTTCCTGTTGGGGGATGATGCAGCTGCCAGTTCGCCAAAGTGGGGGGCCCCCAGTGCCCTTGGTTCCCCAGCTCTTCTACCCTCAGGCTCATATGCTACCCGAGGAAACTACACATACCTCTTCCTCCAGCTTTACCACCTTGGCCTGGGCGTTGCTCAGGGCCTGGTCTCGGATTTCAATGTGTCGCCTTTGGTCCTCGTTGGTAGAACGGGCAGTGGCCAGCTCCGCTTCCAGTTTCTCCTTCTCCCGTTGGCTCTCCTTATCTATCAGGACATGAAATATCAATACTGCCATTCCAGAGCTAGCTCAAAACCTTACCTGAGCAAAACTGACAATCATACCCATTACTAGATGCTCTAGTGTTCTCACACACAGCCACAAGAACCAGGACACCAAGACCTGGACTCTTATCACTGGCTCTACCACTAACTTGCTGTATAAATTCAGAAGTCACTTAACAATGGTGGTTGTGCAGAAGCAGTGAGAAAGTAGATATAAAAAGTGTTGTAGAAGGTATTATACAAAGAAGAATATACACACATACACATACACACACATATGTCAGAAGAACAGGTAGGCTTGTCTCCTCAATTTTATTTCTTAGTCTTGTCTTGGCCAATGAGCAATTGAGCCTCCACCAATTTTCCCCATTGTTTTCTCATGACAGTATATTAAATTGATATAAACATGGTATTTCATAAAACGCATAAAACCGCAAATCCCACCCTTTACTCACTAACATGATTTTCTAACTGAGGTCAATCCATGATCACATTGTAGCTACAGATGACCATGACACATGTAGTTATGCCTCATGCCTTTCTAGGTCCCTCCACTTTTAACTAGGACAGACCTCATACCAGAAACTCAAATGAGCGGTTTTGATTCTCATTGGGAGGTAGAGTGCCCTTCCTCTCAAGACATTGATATATAAGTTTGTAGGGAA